ACTAAACTTAATTAGATAATAACCTAACATAAACACAACACACCCTAGTATGTGAAATTTAGCCAAATCTTTATATATCCATCTTTATCAAAAACAATTATCCCATTATTAGTGGGGAATAACCGATCCGTCTTCTAGAGTCCCAGCTTTGATGCTGTTCGTCACACGACAAGCGAAGGCTTAGCCCGTTTTGATCCGAAATGAGGGAGGATGTCTCGTGATATGCATCAACTTAAGAGCAGAACAACGTGAATCCGCCGTCGTCTTCTGGCGAGATCGGCCTTCAAACCTTTTCATCATGCACTTGTATATGGAATGCAATTAACCACAGCAATCATGTCTCAGAAGGTTAACCAAAACCCATGTTTGCTTCGTAAATTCATGAGCAGGCATGACTCTCAGAGCAAGTCGATCTCTTGAATATCCTATTCTCATATATGAGATTGTGTTCACCCTATTTCGTTTGAGGTGATGAAGGACTGATAGTGGTATTTTCTCACAATCTTATGAATAGACCTTACGTTTCCATTTAATTTCGCAGAGTCTTGCTTTGTCAAAAGTTGTTCTCATACCGACTGGAGTGGACTGCAGTTACTACCTCCCATCGGTCTTATCAACAGCCCCAGCGGGAGTCGAACCATGACAGTGCAGAAAGGGAGCTTGTCACGTTAACTAATCGACCACATTGGCACGAGTGCCTTTGGGTCACAGGGAAAATGTGAATTTTAAGGAATGTCAGGCATGTTGCCATATCCCATTCTGTATTGGGATTGTCGATGGAGCAACATTATTTCTACTATATTAATAGACTAACTTACTTATTTTTTAGTAGTTGTTTCACCTTGTTTTCGCAACTACTATACAACGAAAGGAGACCACGTCCATACAAAAGACCACATCATCTTGGTCTTCATACTCTCGATTACTTATGTTTTAATGAGATGTATTCACCCTATTTCGTCTAAGGTACCAGACCTTCATCACCTTAGACGAAATAGGGTGAATACATCTCATTACACTGATTTACTGGTAGTCTCGAA